AGCAGCTGCTAGATCCAGGCGGCCGGTCCGGCGGCAGCGAAGGCAGCCGCAGCGCGCCCGGGGAGCGGGAGAGGGCGGAATTAGAGCGAGCGGGACGTTTTTAATAGTTTCATAACGCTTCTTAGGCAAAAGCAAAGCCTTTCCTGGAAGAGGGGCGGCTGACCAGGTTACCCACGTGTAAGACATTTGGGAAAAAATGCAAAGAGTCGCATCCCATCTATGTTCTGAAAATTTAAAAGGTGTTTGACTTTTCACTTTTTTCTTTTAAAATTAAATGTATTTTCGAATTGTAAAAAGGTGACGTCCAAGCAAAACGTTGCAAAATAATTAAAATGGTTGACTAAACCAATCCAAACTAGGCTATAGATATTAATTTCTCTTTTTTTTTTAAATTTTGTTGTTCATTCAAATTAAGACAAAAGATATTCTGAAATGTTGATAAAAATATCGGTTATCTCCTAACCGTTCTAACGAAAAACTCCTCCTGAAAAGGGAGTTTTATTCCGGATGGCCTCCAAAACTGGTGGAACACAGAAACGTGAGGAGAGCAACGCTCGTGAACTGGTCAAGCAATTCAGTTCACGTGTCTTTGGCTGTTTTAGTTTCCAGAGAATGACGTTGGTTTTCAATGTTAAGGGGCGTCGGATCTGTGAAACTGATTGTACTGTGGTTGTGTTTGGGGTCAGATGTTGTGTTGATGTCAAGCTGCTGCTACAGAGATCGTAACATGCCTGCGTGTGTGATTGTATTTTGTTCTCCTTATAGATGGAGGAGATTAAATTTAAAGACAGAGCAGTCTACGTGCTGGAAAGAGAGTTAGGGGTTCAAGCCGGGCATGCTCAGAGACTGCAGCTCCAAAAGGAGGCTTTAGATGAACAACTTTCCCAGATCAAAGAGTCTGACCGGCATCTGAGCAGCCCCAAGCGGGAACTTCCTTATGCAAGTGGTGCAGGAGACGCTTCAGATCATTCGGGAAGCCCCGTAAGCACTTTCACGTGGTTTCACCTAAACAAGCAAACGAACAGAATGGCAAAATGACACGAAATACACAAAAGGACAAAATCTTGATGAGTGCACCTTTGAGCAACAGCTTTCCCATAGCGGGAGAGGGGAAACCGAGGGACAGTAATTTTTTGCTCCAGTGCATTAGCCAAACCTTTAAGATTTAAAGTCAAACCTCATTATGGGAGAGCTTTTGCTTGTTTGTTGTTGTGTTTTCTGGTTTCTTTTGTTTGTCTTTGGTAGCAGGGTGAACTTTTCTTTTCTTTTCTCTTTTCTTTCTTTTAACATATCTCACTTCTTCAGCCTGCCTTAATTTGATACTTTGACACAATTTTTGCCAACAAATGATGCAAATGCTTTTCTATCCAAGTAACGTGTGTGTGCCAGTTTTCAGAGCTGCTAACAGTATATTTTGTAAGTAGATGTACAAGAACAGTTTACGAAAGGGAATCGGCAAAGGTAGAGTAATCAATGCATGAAAGCTTGTAAAGTCCTGCCTTCCTCCTAGGACATCTCTCTTGGCTAATATTTTTATGCTGCTAAGTTCTCTTGCTTTCAGTGGACCAGAAAGTGAATGAAATACCAGTTAACCTGTTCTCTGCTATCTCTTTTGTACAATGCAATATCCAGAGCATTAAATTTTAGTCACCCTTTCACACTGGCTTTTTGATGTAACTATGCCACCTTTCTGCTTTTGCCTTGATTTGCTAATATTAAAAATCTTTCAGTTAACTGACCTCATATAGCTGAGACATATGCAGATTTTCTTCATTGCTGATCCTCATCAAGATTTCTTTTGCAAAAATCTTAATTTTCTCAGTAGAGGTATAAGTAATATATATATATAAAAGCAAAACAATCTCTTTTATCCTTTGTTCAAAGCCTCTCCTGCACCTGTTGAATGAGGAACCCTAGACCTTCTGAAAGTTCCACTAGGACTATGGACATTAATTTGCCTGTTTTGATTTGTACTTAAGTGCTACCAAATATCAGAATAAGTACTAGAGAAGGATTAAAAAGTCTGTCACATTTATAAGTACATATAACTTCTCTCTGATTCTGAAAAATGCAAACATGCCTATCTATATTTCTCTTCATTTATAATTTGATTTAAACATTTTCACTCAGCTAGATCAAAGTGCTACCCTATTCGCTTTATGAGTGACCCTTTAGAATTCAATAAGGGCCACAAGTTTAAGGAAGAAGAGCTTATGCAATGGTATCGTTGCATGGATTTTACCCATTTGTGCTTCAGTATTTTGAAGATCATTTTCTTATAACAAAGTCCTCAGAGCGAGTGACGTGTCTGAAACACTCAGTTCAACAGTGGCATACATTGGAAACATTGCCTTAATTTTTGATATTTTCTTTCATAATTCCAAGTTTCACATTTTTGTATTTGCATATACATACCTCTGCATTTGCATACTTTGTTACGTTCTCACTCTTAACTTTCCGTTGGTCTCATCTTGCAGCTCTCAGGGATCAGTTCTGCTAAGGTCATAGGTTACATTCTTCTGTATAATAGTTTCAAAGTATTTGGATTCAGGATAGGAAAAAGTTTGAGCTTTGAAAAATATTGATACACTGTTTACACTTATGAACAGTTATTTGCAGTTGATCTTTGTTTTAGGAACAGCAGTTGGATGAAAAAGATGCCCGGCGCTTCCAACTTAAAATTGCTGAGCTGAGTGCAATCATCAGGAAACTGGAAGATCGGAACGCGCTGCTGTCGGAGGAGAGGAATGAGCTTGTAAGTAGCAGCGGCCGGCACGCTTCAATTACAGCTTAGGAAAATGCTGAGGTGGCAGGTATGTCTCGCCAGCGCCAACACTGAGATATTTTATCCTGTATTATCCAGAAATTATTGCAGGACATTCACGTGATCCTGTGGATATAGGAAAATTCGGCAATTTGGTGATATCTGTTCATAGTGTTTTCCTAGAGCAGCTACATCGCTCAAGCAGCAGGAAGGACCTCAACAAATCTGTTTTTAGGAAAAAGTAGTGTTCCACGTGCAATGTATCAGAAAGGCTGAAAATGAGAATTTTGTGACTGGAAGGATATGCCTGATGCAATTCAGTGGAATTAGACTGCATTTGACCGTTCATATATGTGAAACGCAAAATGGTATTAGGATTCAGAAAGAGTGCTTTTTAACCGCTTGATAGCTAACGGCATTCATGCTGCTAACCACAGCACTGCCTTTACAGAACCGAGCCAGTAAAGTAGATCAGCACATAGGAAAACTCCAGCTAGACTAGACTGGAGGAGGGTGTTATACCAGTGGTTCAATGCTGAACGCTTTGACACTTCTTAATATGCAGTGTGCATATTAAATGGCAGAATTGTTAGGAATTTATATATGGATATTTAGCTCCTCTTTATGTTCTATATTTGGTAATACGCCACATTACACTATCTACTTAATGTTTGCTTCCAAAACAGTAGCTTTTAAAGATGGAATTGGCTGGAATTTATCTATAGATTTTTTTTTTTCAGTAAATATATTGCCCAAGTGGTACATTTTTTCCATAGATGACTGTGTATCTCGTGAAGGAAGGAGGAACAATCTGTTTCCCAATGGACTCCACTAGGAGTGTTTGACAAGTTCTAGGATTAGAAAAAACTCCTCAGAGTTTCTTTTCTTCTTACTAACGATCTTCTGTAAATCCTGATGAACTCAGTCATAGTTATTTATATTTGGGTTTCAAGAGTTCAGGCAGGCTGCCCATGACCCTGGACAGCAAGGAACGAACAGTGCCGATGAACGCAAGACCTCTGCTTTGCGTTAGGAGAAAATGCTGTTAGTATGCCAGTTAAAGAAAATGATAAATATGCTTGATAAATAAGAACAGCTCTGGAGGTATTAATTCTTTCCTAATGTTTCAGTTAAAACGTCTCAGAGAAGCTGAAAGTCAGTATAAGCCCCTCTTGGACAAAAATAAACGTCTCAGCAGGAAGAATGAAGATTTGTCACACGCCTTACGTCGAATGGAAAATAAATTAAAATTTGTAACGCAAGAAAATATAGCAATGGTAAGTCTCTGGGCTGTCACTGTAAGTTCCAGGGAGAAAATGTAATTTAGTATTTACAGGATTGATGAAGTCAGACATTTGACAAAAATACTGTTACCAACTGGCAAAGTGTTTCTACTTTCCTGGTGTTTGCTGCGATGCTCTGGGGTGCACTGCTGAGGGGCTGGCGGTTTGACCAAACTGGCTGCTCAGTCACGTTCGCAGTTACAATGTGAAGACAAACTACCTCACTTCAGCTTTGACATTTGTATGACGTTTGTCACCTGTATTGGTATGACATTTTATCACCAATGACATATGGCATTTACCACCTTGTAATGATTGAGTAAAATGCACCTGTGACTCACGTCCCTTGCTTAAAAGTGAGCAGCGCTAGTGGGCAATAGCTGGTAGGTAGGCAGTGGTGAAGTTACGTGACTGTGAGGACCCAGCTCGTTCAGTAAGAGCAATACTCCCCACTTCTGCTGTTCCAGCGTTGTTGCAGCTGAAAATTAATGAAAGCAATCTGGAAAGAAGTGATGTTGATCCCCACTCTTTGAATTCCTCCTCCAGCAATATGAAGCCATAAAGCTTTTGGCAGAGCAAAAGAGAAGGTGTTGTTGAATGCTGATGCTAACATCTGCCTTTGGCAGGCTAACAGACGGTGTGTGACAGCTCTGCGGGCTGGCAGAGCTGGTGACTCTCTCTGGTGACTGCTGCCGTAGAGGAGCCAGAGCACTTCCCTTCTTTATGATCTAAATTTATCGCTTAGTAAAGGAGAGAGCAAGATCACAGCTAGTACAGCAATTCGATGAGATAAATTACCAGTTGTAAAAGGGAAGGATTATATACTGTCCTTTGGCAAAGCCTTTTGATCATTTCCTTTTTTTGCCCCGTGGGTTTCTTGCAGAGGCAAAGAGCTGGAACAATAAGGAGACCAAGCTCTTTAAATGACCTTGACCACAGCCATGAAGAAAGAGAAGTTGAATCCCTGAGACTACAAGTTATTGAACAGCAAAATATCATTGATGAGCTCTTCAAGGTAAGACAGAGAGTTCCTTTCATACTTTTCTTACCTCGTACCTTTCTTATGAGAGGTTGACCAACATCATAGCAAAAGAAAAGGAAACCTAAGCAAGGGTGTGCCTGAGGTTTTGTAAGCAAACTGGCATAGTTTGCATTAGTAAAAATATGGAACTCCTTTCTATACTTAGTAGTAATTGACCTGAATCTAAATTATCTATGGTATACTATTTGGAAAAAAATCTTTTCCATCTATGTTGTACTTACATGATAGAACCATTGTATTGCTTCTAATAGATGCGCTAATGACCAGATCCTACTCCCATTAAAGTAAATGTCAAAACTCTTTGAGCTGGAAACAACATCAGCCCTAAAGGTAAAAGCTCTGTAAAAAGGGAACGTTTTGTAGTGCTGTGGTTTTTTTGTTTTTGGTTTTTTTTTTTTTTGGCTTCTTTGATTTTGCTTTGTAAGATGCTCAGACTTTAAAGAGAAAAAAGTCTATTTATTATTTTCCTTCTTCTCATTATTAGTAAAGTATAAGGCCTGGATATTGTTAGAAATTATGGAATAGTCCATAAAGTGAATGTTTCCTTGGTTTCATCTTGGTATGGAAGATCACAAGCTCCATAAGGGAAGGGAATTACTATGCTAAAGAGGTGGCACTGCCCTGCATTTCCATGCGCATCTTGCCCCACTGGGCTTTTGTCCATCGTGGGTGAAGTTTCAAGGAATGGTTTAGTTCCTTAAGACCCCAAACCCCATGCTTTAAGTAGACAAGCCTTTAGCTCCAATCACTGAGTTCCTCTTAAATAGAATGAAAATTAGGTGACCCTTCTTCACTAGGTCACTTCTTCTGTTCAGGCATCTTTTGTCACCTGCAAAGAGGCACTGCAACCAGTATATATGTAACTCTAGAGTACAAAGTAGTTATTATTTGCTACTGTATATAATAAATAGTTATAAATAACAAGTTGCTGGCTAAGGATTAATATGCTCAAAAAAAACCTGGCCTTTGGTGGTCAGTCAGTCATCAGTCAGGTGGGGAAAGGTTGGCCTCCGTTACTCCTTGGAGCTGAGTTGCTCTCTCACAGTTCCTTTGCTTTTTTTCTTAGCGTTCTACACCTTTCCATGTCAATATTTTTCCTCTTGAATCCTCAAGCTGCTAACTGTTACCATCTAAATAATTACACTTCACTTTTCTCATCTTGCATGGCTTTACCTCATGTACTCAAGAAGAGCTCAACATACCGTTGTAGCAGCTTTCTTAGTAGAGCTGGACTTAGGTCACACAGCTGTGCTGCACCAAAACAGAATCCCAAAGGGCTGACCGCCTCGGCTTTGGGTCCTTAAAACCTGTGTATTGAAATGGCTATTAAAGCTTTTAAATGTCGCACGGCAGGATGCCAACCACATACTTTGGAGGATTCTTGTCTACTCTTTGTAGGTGCGTTCTCGGGCTTTGGGAAGAGTAAATGGAGTGATTCGTGTGGGTCTTTTTGATTACAACTGAAAAAAAAAGAAAAAAGAATTCCATATACTGAAAATAAATCCATATACAGAAATCATAATGTTTTTCAAGATTTCTTCAATAAAATACTTGTTTATTGTATATTTACACTTACTAACATTATTTTATTCCTTTTTTCTTAGACCCTGGAAACAGCTGGCTATGTGAAGAGCCGCCTGATATGAAGTTAACTTCATATTTCTCTTTGTATACTTTTAAACTGCTGTTCAGAAAAATCATGTAGGTTATAATTATTATTATTATTACTTTCTTCTATATTCAGAGAGCAGGCAGAGCAGGCAGTATTTTTATTAGCATAGATTTCATAATAAAAGGCCCTATCAGCAGAAGTTACTCATCAGAGAAGTTTGTGATAGTGGAGAGGAAAGTCTTGTCAGCGAGAGGAAAGCTGCCATCTGTCTGCAGAGGCCACGGTCACCGCGGCCGGAACGGCTGGACGGTCGATAGTGAGGAGCCTACGGTCTCCCAGGAGCGCATGCTGCTCTTGAGGAACAATTCTGCCGTATTGGAATTGCTTTTTTCGAGAGAGGGAGGAGAGAGTATGACTAAAACTAGCTTTCTCTCATCCATACTTCTGAATCGGCACCCTGGCCCATCTCGTAAAGGGTCATCCCTTTGCTCTTATAGGTACAAATTTTCCTGAGGTTAAGCCCCATTCTAATGTGTACTGATGAAACATGTATTGCTTTTTTCTTTACTGCTAAGTGTACAGCAAATCTTGTGCTTTCAAGTGAGGAAAAAAAAAAAGATTTTGATGCTGTCCTTCATGATAGCACTAGTTTTGTGTTCTGACATCACTGGACTGATGCAAGTGGCACATTTTCAATGCATCACACAAAGCCCAGCTCATCCTCCAGCAAATGAATGAGCCAGGAGATTATAGGAATTTTTCTTTTAGAACTTCATTCTCTCTTCAGTTCTGGAGTTTGCCTGTACTGTCAATCCAGAATAAATCCATCAATCCAGATGGATTTTTTTCAGTATTTTAACAAAATAAATATCACTCTATGAAGTGTGTCATAATTTCCACTGTAGAAACATTTGCTGGCTACAATAAACGTTTGACTCCTTTTTTGGAGCTACTGAGAACCAGCAGATCCTTTAAGAAGTCAGCTAAGAGTGTTTTTTTTAAGTGCTGAGTTCAGACAGTTTCAAATATGTTACAGTTTAGGAAAAATTATGTGTGTGCATGTTACAAGTGACAGTAATAGAAGCTGCACAGACAGTCAATGTGAAAATTCAGTTTTTGCTTCCGAATCCTGACAGAACAGTCCATCTCAGAGAGCTACAGCATAGATTTAAATGAGCACGCTTGTTCCCAGAGCAGCTGTAAAATGAGATTTAAGTTGTCAGTATGTTGTATTAATTATAATCAGTTTTGTTTTGCCATTTTGATTTTCGTGTATATACCCAAGCAATTGGCACTAGCGTATTGCAGACTTAGAAGATGTTTGAGTACAATTAGCATTTGACTGATGGAACCAAGTAGTTGTTTCATTGTGAGGGGGTGGCCAGCACTGACATTACTATTTTTCTGATTACCTAATGCCTACAAATACTAACACAGTTTATTTCAATAATAGATCCCTGAAAACAGCTTATGTATCTAACTGATTCTTTCAGGAGCGTGATAAGCTGTTAAGATACAGGAAACAAAGAAGAAAAATGACAACACTGGCTTCGAATGTCTAGAAATAGGAATCCTTGGGCACTGTACTTGGAAATGACTTCTGAAACTTTGGGCCGTTAGTCTTAAGTCTGGGTCAGGTAGTGCAAGGACGTTCACAGACAGAGTATTCTGATAATTTAAAAAAAAATTGGTAGGGCTTATTTTAGTGGTGTGGTACAGGCAAGTTACTGCATCCCAGACATTTCCCCCAGATTTGAGGCTTTACATCAGGATTATCAATCAATGATATTTGTTCCCCTTGCAATAGAGAGGGAGCTGTTTACGTTAGACGTTATTAGCATTTGAATTCTCTGCGTTTACTCCGAACACTTTCAACATATGGGACTTCAATAACGCGATTGTTTAAGGCAAGACAGATTTTATGAATTAACACATTACTAAACTATCTTTTAATGGCACCACTTGAAAAATATATAAGTTGTAAATAATTCATTATGGACTTTAGTAACATGTGGAAATTGTTGGTTAAAATCAGCAGCTACAGAATAGTTAGAGCTCAGGGAAAAAGAAAATGTTAGTTAATGAATACTTGACAGAAGGTTAATATAAACATTAACATAATGTAATGGCATCATAAGGTGTAATGTCATGGAACTGAGAGTAGACTGGGCTCTACATATGAAGAATTAAAGCAGTAGTGGAATTACCCAATCTATAAATAGTGAATTATGGTTGATGTGAAATCAAATCCTTAGTTCCTATTGCATAGCAAACAAGCACCAGAAAAATTCCAAGCGGCCAGTTATGTGTTAGTGCATGCAAATAGAAACTGGCCTATTGAAGGGGAGATATTTTTTACTCCTTTGAAAATTATCCACTGCCATTTAAAAGAGAGAGCCAAAATCTAGAAATATTTTGTAAATCACCATTTTAAAAATCTGTTTAATAAAATGTGTTCATAATGTCTTCTTTGACTTTTAAGCATTTAAAAATAAATATTTCTTTACTACCATAAATATTTCTTTACTACAATTAGCATTCTTTTAAACAGAAAGTAGCTTTGAGTGAAAAAAATTGATTTCTTTAAATAGTAACAACATTGCTGTAATAAGTAACTTCAACAAATTTTGAAATAGAATACTTCTTCAAAATCTAAATTTTCCTCTGAAAATTGTGATAGTGACAGAAAGGACAGTCTGGTAATGGGAACAGAATAAAGGAAAGTTGTTTTAATGAAGAATTCCCATCTCCCTTTAAGGTAAATTACACAGAAAAAAACGTGGGGGGCAGAAAATGGGTGATCTGCTTTAGCTAAAGAAATATGAAGGAAAATACATAAAACAAAAATGGCAGAGGCTTTGGCATGGTTTGACACCATGCTGCCTAATCACAAGTGCAACAGTCCAGCCACTTAAATAGTGTTAGCAGAGCACTATCATTGGTGTGAAAAAGCTTTACAGAATATATGTAAAGAACTGAATCTGTTCTTCTAGAAGCAGCACAGTGGGAAACCGCCAGTAATTTGGACTGAGATGAGTTCATTTTCACCCGAAGGTGTATATCAATTGAAAACCTAGAAAGGCACAGGGTTTAGAAATGTCTTCCAAATCATCGTTATTTCCCCCTAAAATTTTCAGGCCGGTTCAGTTGACTATACTGTAAGACACTTTGCATGGTTAAGCTGCACTTACACGTTGTCCTTTGATCACAAGCCGGTTGTGGAGACATTTTTCGGCTATGACGAAGAAGCTTCCTTGGAGTCTGATGGTTCTTCTATCTCATATCAGACCGACCGAACAGATCAGACGCCTTGCACTCCTGAGGATGACTTGGAAGAGGTATTCATCAAACCTATGTGATAATATTTAGCTACTTCTCTGTGTGTTTAAACCCTACTCTGAACGGTTAATACTATTCGTGGTCTGTTATCCATTCATCTGACACCTCTGACTGGAAAATCAAAACTTGGTATTAAATGTAATACCATGAATGTTGGTTAATGTTCTGTGCATCAAGTCTTTGGCAAAGCCAGAAATATTTTGCCATAAGAGTATTAGGTGTAGGATATGTTTATAGGTCAAAGACTAAGGAGGCAGAAGGCCATAAGAAGTAGTACCCATATTGAGTTTTATTGCGGGTCGGGGTGTATGCGAGTGTAGTTTGGGCTCAGGTTCTTCCATTTGTCATCTTGACCTAAGCACAGACTGCAGACTTAAGGGATCGTGTCTGTATTTCATGAATGAGAAGTAAGAAAGCAAAGCACCAGCCTCCAGAGCAAAGTCTGTCTTCTCACTAGCAGAGGAAGATTATGACTTTTCTAGAGGATCTGAATACAGAGAATAGAGAGGTAGCTGGTAATGCATAAAAAGTGAGTATTTCCTGTGTTTTGCAGGGCTTTCCCACAAATATGTTCCTGTTGCCGGATCAGTGTACCAGGACTTGTTTCTGGATTTAACAAAAAACTTTTGTTAAAAAAAAGGAGAGGGGGAGAGGAGCTTCCTAATAATGATTTACAATCTTTTTAGGGTATGATGTCTGTAATTTTTGATCTGCCATTTCATCTATTTCATGGATTATAATTAGATTTGTTAAAAGGCGATCCAAAGACTTCCCATTTCCATCAAGAAAGATACACGACTTGTTACCATGTGTGCTGCACTGCAGGAAATCTGGATGTGTTTTTATATGTATAAATTTATTTATTTTTCATTCGTGTTTTGAAATCTCTTTTTTCCCTGTTCAGAGAGCATGAAGTTCATGCTTGCAGCCAGCAATATTTCATGTGAAGTTAAATGAAATATTCCAGTCAACATCACATGAAAGCATTCAATTTTGGATACTGTGGGGAGAATAAAGAAGATGAAGGTCTCTTTTCATGTTGGTGTCACCATTCTTACAAGTATTAACTCGAGATTAGTGTTTTGCTGATTTAGCAAGACAATCAGGCTTGGCCTTTTTCACAGATTGGAAACTTTTGTTGTTTCAAGAAAAGTGTATTTTCCCCCTTAAACATAATGACTGGACAGTAAGAGAGGGTGATTCAACAGTTAGTTTATTACATGGATGGAAGTTTTTCATCTTTCCAAAGGAAAAAAGCTTTCCCTTTTTTGTTTTGCATTTCTTTGAGGCAGGTGTGTGACAAGAAAGAAATTATGTGAGAGCACTTGAAAAAGATCCGTGCCGCGCCACTGAAATTGCATTTTAAAAGTAATGCTAATTTTTGCACTTTTTAAAGGAAACAGACACCATTAACTCTTGTGACTTCTCTACTTTCATTGCAGGAAAAAAAACCCAGCTGTTACAGTTAATACTTGTTTTTAACAATTCCAGGGTATGGCCAAGGAGGAAACAGAGCTGAGATTTCGGCAGCTGACGATGGAATACCAGGCTTTGCAACGAGCGTACGCTCTCTTGCAAGAACAGGTCGGAGGAACATTGGATGCAGAACGAGAAGTTAAGGTCTAAATGGCTTATATTACATGAAAATAAAGGATTGTAATTGTATGGTTTTCTAATTTTACTTACTCAAGTTGTTTTCAGATTTAAAATGTCAGATTCTTTAAAGCAGCAGATTCTTGACTGGCATAGCTCTGTCACGGTTTCAGTTCCTCTGAAAGAGAAGGAGTTACGAGTGCTTATGCTTACTAATCACTGGCTAAACTGTGTTTTAACCTTTCTGTGAAAACAACATGTTAGGCTGATAAAGCACCTTTTATCGTAGAGAGGTTCTAAGAGAGCTGTGATCTGGATCAACTGATGCAAAAAGTAGACACAAGATTAGGTTGCACACAGTTTGGGAGAGAAGGTGAAGATTATTTTCTAATCACAGCTGATGAAAAGCAGATGAACTGCAAGAGTTTGCACTGTCACAATCTGGACAGCAGCTATCAACAAATTCAGGGTCTTTCAGGGCGTCGCTCTTTCCTGCCATCCCCTGTCTTTTCCATTCATCCTTAGTCGCTTCTCAGCGGAGGACGTGGAGAAGCCTGTTGATACACTCCGTAATGTTGTCCCTCCAGCACGCTGCCTGCAGCGAGTGCAGTGCAGGTGCATTTGGCCATCTGAGCTGCCAGAGTGTGCTTTATCATCCCTAACGTGGGCTAAACGGCCAGTCTCCTGCAATGAAGTGCTGGTTTGCTGAAGAAACTTTTATGGAAAATCCTTAAATTAAACTCTCTCTCTCTATTTATAAAAATCCAGTATGGATAGCCTTAAATATGTAATGCCTGGTATTTCAATTCTTCTGGATTCTGTGAGATCACAGGACTCCTCATAAAACGTTTAGAATCTTGTAGTTTAAAGAGATTCATTTCCTTGATCAAACTGCAAAGTGTCTTATCTGCCTCAAATAGCCCATGTAGCTTCAACCATCTAGTGTGGCATTTTATTATCTAATATAAAACATTACATTTATTATAAATAAATTGTATATTATAGGGAGTCAGGAGGTCTTAGTGTAGCATATAACTGCTGGGCACAAAGAATGCAATGCTGAATGCAATAAATTAAGGGACAAATTCTGTTCTGAGCAAACATTTCGAAGTCTAAGAGGAGAAGAGAATACAGAAGGTCTTAATTCGACTCTAAAACTATTTTGTAAATATGTTGACCAGGAATGCTAAATGTCAATGTAGGTAAAGATGGCAATATGAGGAGATATTCACATCATCCAGTCTGGTCGGCCCTGTTTAGTCTGACAGGTTCCTTTATTTTGCCTTACGATCAATAGGCAGAAATATATCTGCTTTGAGGCCCAATTAGAAAGGAATTCTGATGGCTTCTCGCACAGCGCCGTTCAGAAAGCGCCTCCCCCTCGGCGTCTGAGCTGCCCCCGGCCACGCACACCCTAAGGAACGGGGTCACATCAACAAGTGACCTTCAAGCTGTGTCTTTCCCAACCGAAGGCAGTTCCCTGGCTCCAATTAAATGTAAAACACATGGCCAAATTCCTCCAACAGAATTCCATCATTAAAATAATATTTTGCCTTTACTAGCTTAGCTCTATAACTTGTCCTTTTTTTTCCCACTGATAAATTCCAAGCTGCTAATTTCACCACCCTCTGCACTGGTGAGTACCTCTGCTAGGTCTAGCAGCCTCCCTTGTCTCCCGGTTATCTCCCCACTCGGTAATACATCATCTCGTTCCTTTTGGATGCTAAAATTGTTTTGAAATTAACTTTCCCAGAAGGATTCTCTATGCTCCCAAGTGTTAGGAATTGCACATGTGAAGAACATCAACGTAAAACAGGAAATGCCTAGCGAAAAATGAATCAATTTTACCATAGTAAAATTTACCTTTTTCCATAGTAAAACAAAAAGAGAAAACAATGCAGGTAATGCAAACAAATAAGATTATTTTGGCCAGAAAAGGCAAGATAAATAGCAAATAAGTGGTGTGGCACTACTTAGCTAAATGCTTGGTGGGTACAAAAACTGTAAAAAAAAAAAAAAAATTCTTAAGACTATGTTCGGGGAAAATAGTAAGAAAAAAATCATTTCTTCATGAGTTGACTTTTTTTGTTATCCAACAATATTTACAGGCCAAGCAAGCCCCTTCTATGCTCCTCAAAGTCACTGCGCTCAAAAGGCACTTTCTTAAAGTTGAGGCTGAAGGCATAAAGAATTTTCGTTGTATCTTAGCTGAGATTTTTCTGTTGTTGTAAAGGAAGCAGAAGACCTGGAGGGCTATTCTGGCGTACTGCTTTCGTGTAGGCAGCTCTAAATTCTAAACTGTTTCTAAAGGTCTGTTTTTTCTGACTCAGGGCTCTCTGTTTCTCCTACAGGATATGGTTTCATCATTAAAGTTTAGAGTTACCGGCTGTAGCCCCTGCTATATTTTTAATCATTAGCAGAGACCTCACTGTATCATGAATACAGTTCTTGGAATGAAAGTGAAGGAGGAGCTGAATTTGGGCCCTTTTTTTTTCAGTTGTTTGTTACAGTCTTCAAATTTCTCTCTTGTCCAGATTTCTTTTGCTTGGAAAGCTTATAGATTATCCTAATCTAATTGGAGTGCCAGTATGAAGAAAGGAAGTATTCTATAAAACCATATTCAATGTATAAAATGTTAAATAATAATTACATTTATTATCCAGAAAACAAGGATAGGAAAGCGTTGGATATTTAAGCAAGCATGAAGCTACACGTGTGGTTGAAAACTACGTACAATACAGTAAGACAAAAAAGAAGATACTAAATGTTTAGGGAACAATGCAATTTGTCAGTTTGTATCATTACATATATTGGTTCTGTTTTGAGCAATTTAATACATAAAAAGATGAATTAAATGGGAGTGCCCATAATCCTATTGCAATTCTTTCTCTTTGTTTTCATGGAGAAATGGATCTTTCTATTACATCAACTTTTTAAAACACATTGCTCTGAAATAGGAAAGGCTACTAAATGAAGGCTGTCCTAGTCAGCTGTAAGAAGCAAATCATCTTTTGCTGTCCTATTATCTACTTAATAGGATGCTGTTCATTTTAATCTTAACTTAAATCTTAAAATTATCCCATCTTATTCGCTTCTTTTTATGATTGACTGATACTGTGCTTAGCTGCAAATTAACTCTGCCAAAGATCTTTAAAAACCATTTGTTATAAGTATCTGATATGTTTAAAATATTTTCTGCCTCTGTGTTAACTTTTAGATTTTAGAGAAAGTTTGATGTATTTTTTCTCATCTCCTACAGACACGTGAGCAGCTCCAAGCAGAAATACATAGATCCCAGGCTCAGATAGAAGACCTAGAAAAGGCTCTTGCTGAGCAGGGTCAGGTAACGTATGCTGACAACCTACTGTTCCTTTCTCTGGTCTTGTTCTGCAAACAGCCATAGTGTGTGGATTTGTTTCTAAAAAAATGTACCTGCTATTGTATAATATTGAAGATCATAGTGGCACTTAAGTGTTTATGTATGCATAGAATAATTTTGATGCTAGTTTTTGATTGCTGTTTCATTACTAATTGCAAAACACACATACTAAAGCAGCAATTACCAGTCCTTGTCAATGCGTACTGTAGATTAGTGAACCACCCTTACGGAATCACAAAACCACGGAACGGCTGAGGTTGGCAGGGACCTCTGGCAGTCATCTAGACCCTGCTCAACCAGGGTCAGCTGGAGCAGGTTTGCTCAGGGCCATGTCTAGTTGGGATGTGAATATCTCCCAGGATGGAGACTCCACAACCTCTCTGGGCAACCTGTTCTGGTGTCCAAGTGCTTTTGAAAACCCCGCTCTTCACATTCACATACTTTAGTATCTTAAATATCGATCTGCAAAGCCCCTGAGTCCTCATCAGTTTTTATATGCCAACTCCCACTGAAATCAACAACAATTAATGCCTCACTGTCTTCACTATAATTGGGATAATAATAGACAATAAATGCATTAAACATTCTGAGATACTCAGATATTATAGTAAAGGAAGGCATAAGTTAGTTGATAAAGGAGTGCTAAATTAGATAAGTGTATAGCTATGAAGTCAACAGAAATGCCTCTATAGAACACTGAATGTCTCTGCACAACCTGAGAGGAATTGAATTTGCATGCATGTTCGTTATCACGTCTTGAAGTCTTGAAGCAAAGGTTCCAACCGAGCGCCCTGTCCGTTAGTCCTCAGGCTGAAGACTGGAGCTCTTGCTCAGACTAAGGAATCTACAAGTTTTGCTTGAGTAAGAAGTGGCTAAAATCTTTAGTATGGAAGCTCGGGAGGCGAAAGTGCCATGATGGACACGTGTTGCACACTAAGCAGTGAGGTTACGAGCACACATTTATTTTTAGAACTATACATTTTTGTTTTAAAATATATTTATGAATAAGTGAACAGACAAAGTAACTGAGCACATAGGCTTAACTCGCTTTCCTGCAATTAACTAATCCACGGTCTCTGCATCAATTAATCCATTAATGTATCTGCATCTCTCTCTTAACTGTCACTAGCTTAAATTGCCCTCTGTTGTTTTATTATCTACCTCTAGAAAATCCAATCGTTGAGTAACTGATCAGTTCCACTGTCATTATGGAGAGGTGTCTGGGGTTTATGCTCAGAAAGTACTATGGAAAAAGAGGGGTTGTGCTTGGTGGGAGGTTGATCCATTTTAAAATCTCACAGACTTTTAGATACCTTGGAGAAGATTGCAAAGGTAAAATAAAGGAAGAATATTTATATTCTAATAAAATGTTTGTGTTAGCCTTAGTCAAAGTAAGCTTTCCTTGCTTGTAGCTTTCCTTGTGGCTGCGCAAGGTTTTGCTACGTTTTTGCTTTTGAAAGAGAAAAAGCAGGTGTTAAATAGAAGCACACATTTTAAGAGGAGGAGGGAATACCCAGCACAGGCTGTGTATTTTTCAGCAAAAAGTCGATTCTCACAATGTGAAAGTCTTTGCTCTGAATGCCTCCTTTAAATTCAGAATAAATTCATGCAGTAGGGATATTGGAAGTGTTCCGTTCAGCTCTTTGCACAGTTCGTTGCACAGTATGTTCATGCAATAAGCTGTCAAATGATCTCAATCTTTCTTACAAGAAAGAGTAAGATGAAATATAATCGTATAATCTGTGAAATAGCACTCTAGGAAATTTAGATTACATTATTAAATAAGTAGCATAAAGCACATCACAATCAGCCAGACATCTATTGAACTCTGCCTTTTTCATGCCATTAAGCATTATTTAAGTGTTTTTTTTTTTTACTTTGATTTGTTAAGTTTACACTTGGGTAATTTTAACTTCTCCAATCACTGCAAGATATCTGCTGTGGTGTGACTACCTTATTTCAAGGTTGGTCTCGGTAGTCTTTCTCCTTGGTCTATCCTTGCGATTTGATTCGGCAAAGCCAGTCACAGCGTTAGGCCCTGGCAGATTTATGTGCTAATATAACTTGCCGTGGCTGGCGTCAGCTGCCTGCCACAGTCTGCATTATATTCCTGGCTTGTCGCCTGCCATTTGGATTCTTTTTGACAGCAGGTCAAAATATTTGCTAATCGCATATGTTACGGCATAACTAGTATTATAAGATTCTGTGCTGTGATGTTGCCAGAATAGAGGTGATATATGCGATGGTGAGTTTTTACTCACTGCTTGCAGAGCCAGAATGGCTCTGGATTCCTGGAGCAGAGTCTTGAGCTCTCCTGGATGCAGGACATTCTCGGCCCAGATCTGTACCGGTGACACCAATAAACCCCCTGACGCTGAGGTGGCGGCACAGTTAGCCTCCAGGTAAACACCCCTACTTCAGCCCGCATCAGCACCCTCATTACCATGCCTTGTCCGAGCTGGTGGAGCCCCGCGCTGCTCTTGCACAACCCGCTGACGCACAGGACAGTGGCATCACTTGTGAAATTGTTAAAAGGAGAGTGCACCCTACCTCAGAAGAGTAGAGGTTAAAGCATCTCTCACGCGAGCATCCAAAGGTGGTAAGGAAATAGCTCCGTTAGACTTTGAATAGCCTTGAGGATGAAATATTGCAGACCACAAATATTCGTTCTCCAAGGTGAAAACTCAAGAAATGTTGCCGGGCTGTTTCTAGCTTGTGTCTTATTTTTTCAGTCAAAAAAAGGAAACAGAAGATGTTTTTAAGAACTTATTTTAAAATAATGCTAAATCATTTGAACATTAGCTTTCCAGCTTAACCTCTTATCATTGTTAACCTGGCTGATAAAGTTCCAGCTGTTTTTGTGGGGTTTTTATATCCAACAAAATAAGTAATTAGTTTAAAAATAAGGTTTATTTTGTCCAATCTTGGGAAATACGTTATTTGTTTTCAATGTGGTTGAAATTCAGTAGTAACTGGATTCAGTAACTGAATAACTAGACATATCCCTTTTAATGCAAACCTTTTTTTATCTGAAAAGTTTTTTGAATCATTGGAATGTTTATGTTCTACCTGCATACTGCGAACTTCATTAAGATAAGATTGCAAAGTCAAGTTTTCATATGATAGAAAATAATGGAATTATAGTTTCTCATGTAATATTATTCTGTACATCTTCTCTGTATGCATGATTTAATGAATCGTTTGCTATGTGCTTGTATTATATATTGCCAGCTTCAACTATAATATTGATCATTTGTCTTTCAAGGACATGAAGTGGATTGAGGAGAAGCAAGCGTTGTATAGAAGAAATCAAGAGCTTGTAGAAAAGGTGTTCAGTGTTTCTATTTGTATTATTCAAATAATATTTGTAGTTTAAGGAATGCACAAGGTGTGGTATTTTAAGCGTTAACCTATTTCACACAGCTCTATTGGAAACAATTCACACGTAATAACTAGATCTTTATAAATTCACCAGAAAAAGCTGTTTTCTCGAGTTCCTTACGGCCCCTAAAATCCTCACTGCAGCATCCTGAGGACAGAGGCTCTGGGAAACATGCCGCGAGCTCCCCACGCCCCTGGCGCAGTGCTCACTGCAGGAGGGTGGGCAGCCCTTAAATAATACCTTTCCAGGAAGTCATCTTAAAATAACATGAAAAGCAGGGTAGAGAATGACATCCTGACTGACCGGTGCTGCCTGACATGCCTAGAACAGAATGCTGCTATTTTAGGAGGGACCAAAGCTGCATACAGACAGAGCTGCAGAGTCCAGAATCCTTTTCAGCGCCTGGACGGTGCACGGTGTCCCCCATGGCAGCGTGCACCGAGCCAAAGCTTCTGGTTGACGGCACAGGCCTTTCCCAGTCACAGGGGTTGCATGGCAGATTCAAGTGAAGTTGTGAAAAAGGCGTTAACACGTATTGCTTTATTTTACAGATAAAACAAATGGAAGCCGAGGAAGCTCGTTTAAAACATGATGTCCAGGATGTCAAAGACCAAAACGAGCTCCTGGAGTTCAGGATATTAGAGCTTGAAGTGAGCACATGTTAAAAGTACTGTCCTTTCTACCTGCTCTGTGCGCCGCTATCTAACGCTGGAAGGCAACAAGGATTTTGGAATTCCTTGATGTTTATTCTAAAGATCAGCATTTCACTGAACGTGACCAAAGTGTTTGGTACAAAGTGATAGCAAATAAAAGAGACAGGGATCCATACGGGTATTCCTGATAGGTTCTTCTAGCTGTTTTACTACATAAGCTATTTTCAGATCCAGAAGACTGGTTCATGATACAGATGCACTTTTTACTATATTCCATCTGTTCTAAAAATGCAAAGAGAGAAAATCGGAACAGAACATACTAAAAAATAACCATCAATTTTTTATTTTCATTGCCAGAGTCATCTCTCTGTGTCCTACCTCTTGCTAAACCTGCAGAGAAGGAATCATATGGCCTAGACTGCTGTATTTACTCCCCAGAGCCTTTTGTTTTGTGTACTATTAATTGTACAAACAGAATCTGAAAGCCCTTGGAAACTCAGTTTTCCAAATTTTTCAGAGAGAAAATAAGAAAACAGCCACTTGTATAAGGAATATAAGCGCTACACAGATTTTACTAGGTATGAATACCTCGCATCTGTTCAAATGTATTCTGTAGTCAAATTAATAGTTAGACGGTCATGATAGGGGCCCAGTGAAGAAGCAGTGCGGGAAAATATTTGCGCCGTTAATGTGTATGCCTGCCTGCTTTGCGGCGAGGGGCGACCGTGCCCGGCAGCGCGGAGCACCAGCACGGCAGCATCAGCGCGGCCGGGGAGAGGCTCAGCCCGAACAGCCGCACGATGCAGAATGAAGGATCTCTGGGCTCTCCGTAGGAAATAAAGCCAATTTGTGACACTTCCAGTGCGTTTGTGTAGAACAGACCTTTTTCAGATCATGTTTATCAGGTTCTTCGTGACGTTGACATTTGTGAATTACAGTGGTGAGTAATCAGAAATAATTATTTTGATTTCAGGAGAGAGAAAGAAGATCACCTGCTATCAACTTTCATCACATTCCTTTTACGGAGGGGAAAAGCCCTCTCCAAGTTTACTGTGAGGCAGAAGGTGTTACAGTAAGGGATTCTCGTTTCTTATTTTCCTTTGTCTGAAACAAAATTAAACTCTCTATTCAAACTCCTGGTTTTCTCTCTTCTTAGGATATACAAGTAGCAGAGCTGATGAAAAAATTGGACATTTTAGGGGATAACGCCGTAAGTGTATGTTCCTTTAAAAAATTGTGCATGCTTTGGTAAATATTTGTCCTTATGTTAATGTAGCAATGCACTATTGGTTTTCTATTGCACAACTTGTCTTCATTGTGAGCAAAGTACTGGGCTACAAGCTAAGTGTTTTGCAGCTTTTTAAGATTTTTGTTAACAGCCTTCTTAGATGTGCCACAGAGTATCTTAGTTTTGTAATATTGCTTTTAAATTGTCAATAATTTGGAAAATTTTTTGGAGCTTTGCTTTTTCTTAATTTTTTTTTCTGGCCACTCTTCATGTAGATTTGCTTATTTGCTCACTCTACATTTGCTTTGCTTCTGAGTTTTAATAGCTGTGGATTTTAATTTTGTCTACCACTGTAAATCTTAGATATTAATTGGGATATTATACAAAAAGAGTTAGAAGAAAAAAATAAAGGACGAACCACGAAATAAGAAATATAAAATTGTTTCCTCTCCATCATTTTGAAATTACATAAATACATATATAATGTATATACAATTATGTACTTTTATATATATATATGTAAAATATATAATTCTAAAATCCTTTGAAAGCAAAGAATAAATAAATGATATACACAAGTTTAAAGGCCAACAAGCTAAGCATACTAATGTGGAGCAGGACTGCTCTATTCCTACCTGTAGTGATGTTGTCTTCCACAGAATTATTCCGGTCAGGTTAGTGACATGCGAAGTGTTTTGGAAAAGGGCCCTAAACAGTCAACATGGGCATAAAGGGGAAAAGGAAGTGTTATCTTTCCTCACTTTTCCCTATTCCCTTTGCTCTTAGCTTATTTGCTTTTATTAACACTGAAAAGTCTGTAGCCATCTCTAGTTTACTTCTGTCTTTCCTATTTCTTCCTGACTTTTCTTTTCTTTTCTTTTCTCCTGACTTCTTTTCTTTTCTTTTCTTTTCTTTTCTTTTCTTTTCTTTTCTTTTCTTTTCTTTTCTTTTTTACACACAAAGAGCAACTTCCAAATGAGAAACAGTTGGTAGTTCCCATTCTTGACTCAGATAACCGAGGGCTACAGCCCTCCAAGCTCACATTTGCATTTTTCTTGCTGTAACGTGTGTACCCACGGTGTAGACCCGACCTCTAACGGCAGATTCTGCCCTGGGTTGTCCGTTGTCGTGTCTGCATGTTACCCGCTTAACAGACTCCGGGAAAACGAACCTGTGTCCCACGCGTGTGTAAGTGATACGGCCCGTTTCCTGGCGTTTTATGACTTACACTTCTATAAAGCTCCCTTTGGAGCTTCCAGCAGCTGCCAGTTGAACTTTTTGGAGCTGAAGAATTGTTTTGATTAATGCAACCCCCTGGAAAGGTAATGCTATAGGTAAAGCAGAAACCCAGGACAACATAGTGAAATGCGGCCTGCTGCGGGCTCTGGGATCACTACACAAAGACACAGGGAAAAGAGGACTAAAGAACGCAGATGCCCTCCTTTTCCAAACGGGCAGGGGAAATTAGTTGAGGTAATAACTCATAAAACAGGAAAGAACGCCATTAATATTCTGTGGGAGTCATTTATTTTTACTATAACGTTACTTATTTTCAGGAAAAAAAAGTGCTTACATTTATGCAAGAGACAATTATTTACATTTGTCTTTGAGGTCCTCAGAAAATGTCTCCTGCCTGGTATCTCTCTCACTGTTTCCAGCCCTGTACTTAAAACTAAAATTCACCATAGTCACACTTCTTATCAATTTCCTAATGTCCATTCTTGGAAAGATAACTGATGGAGATGGGGCCCATCCTCCTACTTCTGACATTATTGGCCTGGAGTCGGCTGAACCTGGGTCAGAACAAACACCTGTCCCAAACTAGAAGCATTCACTTCTTTATTGAGTTCAAACATATCCCAAAATAGTGCAATTCTTGCAGATAAGAGGATGGGGCAACAACAAAAAAATTTTTATCATAATGGACATCCAAATACTTCTGTCCAAAGGGTTGAATTTTCATAAAAATTTAAGTTTTATAATATTCCTTAAGTGTCAGCATCAGGCTTTAAGACCTTGGCTAACTAAAGTATGATCTTGATCCTGTGTCTGTACAGGGTTGTTTGGGGTGTTTTTTGTTTTTTTTTTTTTTTTTTGCCTCAGTGCTGTAAACATGTTGCAAACAAGAAATTGTATAGATGTGAGTGGTTCTGTTCAGTTCAAGAAACTATTCAGGGTGTTTGCGTTTGCAAGATTAGGTCATTTCTGCGTGCTTGGCCCTGGCCCCTGCTGTGCTCCAGGCGTGCCCAGGCCTCGTCTGGGAGCACGCCGCTGGGCACGGGCCAAAACCCCGGCGCGAGGCTGGCTGTCGAACGGGGCGGCTGCGGGGGACGGAGGGTGCCCAGACCCACGCCTTGGTCCTGTCTCATTTACTGCTGTCGGGTAGTCAGTAAGTCCAGAGCGAGACCTGGGTCTGGGGTGAGATGCTTTGCAACCTGTAGATGTTTCATGGCCAGTTTGAGAACTGCCTGAGAAGTAACCCACAGGTCTTAGTGGAGACCCACAGTGTCAGCACCCTCCATAAGATCAACTTAGCAGCAGTAGCGAAGGTGGTGTCTTTGGAGACCATCTGACAAGGCAAATGGCATACAGAAAATACGCCAGGTGGGTAATATGGGCATTTCTAGTCATTCCAAAGCAACTGATAATAACTGACTTTTAATCTGTGGTTCTCAAATGTAATTTTAATAATCAAGGCTGTCAACAATAACCAACCAATACACAATTTCAGTATTTTAATTAAAAAGAAACACGAGTTGAAAAACTCACTTCTTAATGGATGTTTTCTAAAATCATGACTTTTGGCAGTGCAAGATAAGGACTGTATATTAACCCATTGCACATATAATGAAACACAGAAATCTTATGGTTGCATCTTTTTTCTGAATAGCACATCCTGTTAAGCTTGATCTTGTCTTGCACAACTGTGTGTTTATTCCCTTTTGCGGGGAAAAGAGATCCAGTGTCAACACTTTTCTTTTTCGGTAGATGTCCAAGTTTTAAAAAAATTAGTTATGTGTACAATCACAGTTCAGCGTTAACAGTTACAATTGTTTTTGCAACAACATTACATCAGAATGCTAATTTTATTTGCCTTGGTTTATTGTTCCTCAAACATATTTAATTTCATATTTATTTAATGCAGCAGTGGCCCAGGTAGTGGATTAATAATGAGACACTGGGATTTGTTGTAATTATATTCTGCTTTTGGCGCAGAATCTGACCAATGAAGAGCAAGTAGTTGTCATACAAGCAAGGACAGTTCTCACATTGGCTGAAAAGGTAATAATGATTGCATCACTCATAAGTTAACTTACGTCATAAAAGCATGTGGCCTTCTCAGAGTAGTTCACTTGAAAACACTGGTAATGTAAATAGTTTCTTCACAAAATGCTGTGATTCGTTGTGTGGAATTACACTTGCACTAGTTTCTGTCAAAATTAAGGTATCATTCAGACTGTATGGACAGACGTCATTTGTTTTAAAATGTTGCTTCATTAGCAAAATGATGTTAAAAGGTTGGAATAGGCAGGCTTTGAAATAGTGCTTTTTTCCATCACCAATTTGTATAAGATAAAATAGGTAATATATTTGATTTTTGCTTTTGTTTATTGAATTAAAATGAATAGTTGAATTATGTGATGGTGGCTCCTCAAGTGCTAGTGAAATCCGAGTGTAGAAATGTGCTGCCTCCTGCTATTTTGGCGTAGACATCTGATCTCTCACGCTGCACACCTTCATCTGGCACTGTCTGCTTTTGTCTGCAGTGGCTACAGCAGATAGAAGTGACCGAATCTGCACTGCAACAGAAGATGATAGATCTTGAGAATGAAAAGGTATTGAACGATGACGGGAAGGCAAGGGAGTGACAGACAACAGAAAGAAGAGTCGTTTTATTGCCACAGTCATTGCACTAATTGAATCTTCTTTGTGTCCATAGGAGCTATTTAGTAAGCAGAAGGGTTACCTGGATGATGAACTTGACTTCAGGAAACAGTCCTTGGATCAAGCTCACAAGGTAAGAAAAATCAGTCTTGACTGATTTATGCCATCTTGATTAAATTACCTCGTGTAATATGTTTAATCTGTTTTCAGGAGAAAAACTCTCTGCTCTTGACAGTGTTGCTCGTGAAGGGATGTAAGGTCTGAATACACTGAATTTTAAACCAATCATTTATGTCCTGGTCTAACTCATTAGAGTTCTGTATGGATGGAGTTCCTCGTGTTTGCGTGATTCTTGTGGGATTAAGACCTAGCCATGAATTTATTAAATACACAGTTTAATTCAGCAGAGGATCTAGTTTATTCTTACCTAGAGGATAAGAATAGGATGTTTTTAGTAATTTCTCTTTTCCTTCCACAATAGAGTTTTTTTCTTAGATCTTAGATTACAACCTCTCCAGCTAAATATAGGTGAAGATATTAACATGAGTCTGTAAATTAGGAATGAAGCTGCTTTTAGGTCGGGTTCAACTAGCATGTTAGCTAATCCTGTCCCATTGCAACCAACTCTTTAGCCATCAGCTGACTTACTTCCTTCAATCGTATAAAAAAGTTTTACGTACATGATGAAAGAAATAAATACATACCTTTTCATAGAAATTTACCTCATTCTTTCAGTTTCACTCATATTTTGATCATGGTTACACTTTCTGAGAAGCAATGGGTTTTTAAACCTCTTTTTTTGGATACCTGTTATTGGCTTGGATGCATAGCTGCTTGGGGGAGTTTTTGCACGGTTCACTTTCTGGTCCTCCACTGATTATTTTGAAGACTCTGACTTTGCCAGATGCTCAGCTTTACCTGGAACTAATGCACATGCACAGTAAATGCCTTGAAAAATATATAAGCCCAACCGTACCTGTAGGTTCAGTCCTAATACAATGTAAAGGCACAGAGCATGGATACCAACTCATCCTAGTTATCCAGCTACCTACAGCACACACGGGACTTGCACCTCCGACCCTTTTGCTGCAGTTTCACTGCTGAGGCAGAATATCACATGTAGACCCCGGAGCAGGTTGGTTGTGCTCGGCGAGCAATGCCAGAGGAGGCTTTTTGGCCAGATAGAATGGTAGAGGTGATGAGCCATGCAGCTTTCTATTAGACATTTGGTAGGTGCCGCAATTTATTTCAACCAAAACATCATGTAGTGCCTGGAGTGTATAGTAAACTCTTCCTGTTAAAAGAAAGACAGAGATGGGTATAGAGCTCGTGTCCCTACTGCAGCCCTGAACTGTTCTAATAATCAGCTTGGTGCAGCCAAAGACTGAGCCTGTAGGATTCATCTTCAAAAATAAATCCTTGCAGCTGTGGTCTGTGACTCGGTCACCTGTTTTTTGTTTTAAGTGTACTAAAGTAGATTCATAAATCTGGATATACTGAAAACAGGAACAGTAGTATAGTGGGAAAAACCATATGGCAGCGCTTGAAACCCGTTATTATGCAATGGACTTTGCAGCCCAGTTCAGTCGCTAGGCGGTGGGTATCTGTGTGTTTTAAATGCCCTTCCGTGGCATTGCTGTGACTTACAGCCAGTTGCTCTTTCACGTCCTGCTTCCATGTACAGTCAGTTCCAGGATGTCGTATTTACTAAAGGAACCAGGAGCAAGTAGTTGCCCGTTATTTTCCTGCTCACTGAGAAAGAATGAGTGTAATGCATTGAGTGATACTACATTTAGAATTAGCTGAAGATTATTTGCGTTTTCCTGTATTCTTAAACATATCATGCAAATATGCTCAGGCAAAGCAATGGACTTTACTCACACGTGCAGATATGTAGCCTAAATACAGAAAGACGGCTCAGTTCCTTTTACATATTCTAATGGCAAAAGCACTTTTGATTCTGATAATAAAAGTTTCACTTCCGAGTTTCCCTTTATATTCCTCAAGATGAAGACCCACTAATCTTCCCCCCTCTCATTACAGACAACAAGATTACCAGCTATAACTGGTAAGCTTTTTGTAAAATTTTCACTCTGTTTTGTTGCTGAGGAGTTTGCCATGAAAAATATTTGGCCCACACAGTGACTACTAATGCAATTGCTTTAAAGATAGTGAATGTCCCTCCTGTTTTTTTTCTTAAAAAGTCAGTATAATTAGAGAGTTATAATGATCATACAATCAAGGCTAGGGGCCCAACAGTAACATGTTTGAAGTAGTGGTATTTTGTGAAGGCCAGTTTAGCAGGACTGCCAGCACTATTTGAAGAGTGAAAGCAGAATCTTCTTTTAATATCTGACTTGGAGGGGCAGAACTTTCACCACAGCTGCAGCTCTCATCGCAGCAGGGACAACATGGTTATTGTCCTTCAAGCATCATCAGTATCTGTAAGTCCTGAAGTGTTGTACTAGCCTTTATTATTCTTGCAAATCCATCAGTTCTTTTCCTGAATCTGCTAAGTTAGTAAGAAAACAGCAATCTCAGATGGAGAAAACTGTTGATACCAATTTTGAATTGAGCCAAATTATCATAAAAGTCATCTGTGGCCTTTTCAAGCAGTCTGTCTAGAGGTTCAGACATAATATTCTTCTGCATTCATATTCTTCTGCAGTCAGGGGGAGCTCTACAAGACGTGTTACCATCTTTGGAAAGGATGTGCAAAGGTGGCATCACTGTTTTGTCCCTTGCTCTCTGTCAAACTTTGGCCTACATGAAGTGAACGTCATTTACCTTGGCCTTTGAAATAGAAGATACTGTCTGACAAGGTTGCATGCCTCAGGAGGGTCCTTGGTTCGGTGGTCCTGTGGAATCTTTTTCAGTCCTGTTTCCTAAGTCTTTGTGTTTCCATACTAGTCTCAGTAACCCTGGAGGGTATATCCAAGAGCGTGTGAGAGAGCTTTTCTAATGCAGCAAAGGAAAAGATAAGTATGCACAATGGGTGCAACCTGAGAACGCAGGAACATTGCCTAGCTTCCTGAAAATGAGGCCTCTTGGATCTTAGAAGTCTCCCAGACAAAGTGCTGGGAACTCCTTCATAAAAGACTTTTTAAACTAGCTAGGACAAGACACTGGCAATTGTACAACAGGGAATCATTCTTTTCTGAAGGGAGCATGAACTGGTGCTGTATTTCTGTTTCTGGTGACAGAATAGATGGCACAGGTGAACTGAGAGAATGATCAATAAGCGTAAAAGTTAACTGCAACTCGGTTCAGAAATGAGTCTTTTACAAGCCTTTTTTTCCGTCTTTCTTTTCTCCCCATGGTCAGAACAGGGGAAGTTGACACCTGTATAGTTTTTGACTAGCAGCTAGTGGGATTAGCGGGCCATTAAAGTTGCCAGTAGCGTTCAGAGCCCTGACAGTAGAAAAGGAGATTGAAGCATTTTCCCCGCAGATTGTTTTTCCCTACTGCCCTGTGCAGGAAGAGTTCAGCACACAACCCCTCTATCACTTTCTCTAGAGTCCCACTGTTTGGGATAAGATCTTCAGTTCCTCACAAAATCCTCGACTGACCAGAGAAAAGTTTAAGCTGACAGCCTTATATTGTTTTTGATTAGCAAATTCTGGAATTAGAAGCCATGCTCTATGATGCCCTGCAGCAAGAAGCTGGAGCCAAAATTTCCGAACTTCTTTCAGAAGAGGAGAAAGACAAACTCAAGAGCGCAGTAGAGCAGTGGAAACGTCAGGTTATGAGTGAACTCCGAGAAAGGGATGCCCAAATACTGCGCGAAAGAATGGAGCTCATTCAGCATGCACAACAGGTACGCGCCAGTGCAAAGGCAGGCAGAGATTAATGTGATGACTGTCTTTCAAATGGAAACGCGATGAACTTGTGAGCTCCAGCCCTTTCATCAAAGAGAGCTCTACCAGAACTGTCTGATTTTTGGGCCAGATCTTTACCTGGAATAGTCTCTCAAAATAGGGCATTTTGATTTTCATGGATTTGTCACGTGCAGTGTGTGACTGCTTCACTAATGGAGGACTTTTCTACAGCTCAAAACACAAATTTCTTTAGAAGCACAGTATGTACATCTTATATCTCTGAAAATAATGTATCTTCTAGGTCCATCTCTGTTTACTTGGTTAATAAATATCTTTATTTTAAATCTGACAGAGAATTAAAGAGCTAGAAGAAAGAATTGAAGGACAAAAAAGACAAATAAAAGAGTTAGAAGAAAAGGTAAGGTAATATAGATGAAGCAGTTGTTGTATATGACCATATATTCATTTCATCCTTCCTAAGAAAATAATCTTATAAAATGTAATGTTACGAATACATTTTTCCTATAATTTTTGTTCATGCTAACATTGTATATAGTAGCATTATTGTACATTCCAGTTGTGTAGATTGAGGTAGTTTGCTTCAGCTATGCAGCTGAAATGTCCAAAGCTCTCGCTTGAACCATGTGCAATGTTGATTCTCCCATTTATACCTAAATAGGGAGCATTAGGACCATTGCTTCCTCCTACTGAAATTTCAGCGCTCCTTGGCTGAAAACCGCCAGCACAGATATAAGCAAAAAATGCACACAAAAAGGTAAAGTGGCCTTTCCAGGTCTTTCATTCCCAGCTTATGGTTATTGGTGCAATGAGCTAGTGCCAGAGCACTCAAGGGAACCGTTCCACATTTGCACTAGTTCATCTAAGAAGGAATGGTTGAAGGAATGGTTTAAAGCTAGTCTTTCCTTTCATTATCTTTCACTAAATTCCTAAACACAGGACTTTATGTGCAGTTTATGGAACTAAACAAGGACTTGGGGATGTCCATCCACCTTGGGAAGCAGGTAGTAGAGAACCACCGCAGTGACAGAGTGATGTGGTTACAGACACTTTATGGGGAAGGATTTCCAATCATCTTTTCTCCCTCCTGTCTCCAGCATTTGTTTGTGCAGATGCACTAACCTCCTTCATTTCCCAGCAGTGGATTAAGAAGCTACTTGCTCCTCACTTCCCCTGCAGTCCCATCAGTGATTGGTGTCACGAGAGAGACCGGGGGTTTGATGCTGTAGATAGCTTGGCTCAGGGCAGGCAATAGCTGTTGTGTTTTACCCTAAGCAGCAAACAGTGTGAAGCCATCTATTGCTAGGGGAATGGCTGTAGGAGAACTTGTTCAGATACAATAGGGATTGATCTGAACTTTCTCCTAAAACTGAACTTAAACCTAAAAAATGCTTTCTTTGAAGTATCAAAATAATCCAATTAATATTTTTCCTCTCATCTTTTCCTGAGCTACTTGGTCGCAGTTAGGCTAGGTTTGATGGTGCAGGAGATCTGGTTCTCATCACTGGTTGTCTAACTGAATAACTGGATAGAGTCTAGGACCCTTTGGAAGTTACTTGTCACTATATATTTCTTCTCAGCTGAAAGTTTTCTTGTATTCTGTAACCATCGCCTATATCTCACTAAACACACTGTAAAATCTTACTCTCTTTCTTTTCTTCCATTTTTTCCTCTCTTCCCTTCCCTTTTCAGTTTTTATTTTTGTTTTTATTTTTCTCTTTAGCTTTCATTCTTTGGTCATAGTTCATCAGGCTACCTGCAAAAGGTAAGCGTTTTGATTATCTCTGGTGTCTGCTCCACTTTGTATAAAGCATCAGGGTCTTCTCGTTGCTCCTCCCACGGTGTCTGTAGTGTCTCTTGGACATCACAGATCACCTGAAAATGGAAATCTCTAAGACCTTTGAAAGAATGTGAAGTTTGGACACCAGCAGGCTAAAAATCTTCCAAATAGAATTTTCTTCATTTGAGAGAAAGAACAAGGAAAGAAAAAAAAATACTACTGGCTTAAAAACAACATAGCCTACAAAACCGAGGTGAACACTCAGTCTATTTTTATCCCTCTGATGAGCGAGTGCATCAAGGAAGGCTGCTGTAGCCACCCCTTACCCCTATTAGACACTCACTATGTGTTTGCAGTGTACAGCCTAGGGAGGATGTAGGACACCAACTTCCAGCTAGGTTGAGCCACTTTCCTAATCTTCTCATATTTTCTGGCCCAACAACCAGAATGCTCTTTTTGGGTGGGGGAGATGAGACCCGTGTCATTTATAAATATGTGTTTCTCGAGCTTCTTCAAGAAGTATCATGCCCTCGTGCCCTCAATATTGTGTGAACCCCCGTTTTTACCGTTTGTTTGTTCTGGCAGCAGGTTGCATAAATAGGAGATAAAAGCCAACATGTTTGTGCTTCCAGAGATGACATTTTATGCCATCATTACCATTTTATGGATGGCATTGAAAGGAATAATTCCTACTGTACATGACTATCAAAAGAATATAACACAAATCCTTTCATATTAATTTTATAATTCAAACACATATTAATACAAAAAATATAACCCTTACAGAAATTTCATCTTGTTTTTAACTGTAAATACAGTTACATTCTTTGATTCATGTTTTTTTATGTTTTCTTGTTTCAGCCTATTGAGGAAGCTAGAAATGCTTGTACTGTTATTGACAGGAAGACAGCATTGGTTACCAAGATAGAAAAAGAGACATTACAGTTTCAAAAAACCCCAATATATCTTGTGTTTTGCCACTAAAGGCGGAAGAGCTAATCTTTGTGACCCTTTTAGACTGAAGATTAATTAGAGTATTTGGAATTATCTGCATATATGGACTCTGCACCACTGAAATCTCTGACTGTGCATTTTCGAGTAAACCGACAAAGAAGAAAGCCAAAAAACCCCTTCCCTCTATTTTATTAACAGTTCCAGACTTCTTCCGAGGAAGTCCTATCTCTGCTGCTTGAAATAACTTTCAGCTTTACATAAAAAGCAGTATACTGATTCAGATAAACTGAATATGTTTTGGTTCCCTGCTAAGCAGGTAGTAAATTGCTTCTCTGTAGAAGTGAACATGTCCTGTTTTATATGTCACTCATTTATATTTGTTATTCCTAGCTATTAAAACCTGTCTTGAAAGATTTTCAAAAGAGTTCCAGAAGAGTAACTCATGAGAACATAAATGTGAATGAAAGCAAAATGTTTCATTCAAGGTATTTTGCATCCAGTTCGAACAGGAAGAACGAATTCTGCCGTGGATGATTTCAGGAGAACGTATTTATCTGTCAAACACAGGCTCCATCCTGTGGTTTGTTGACTATCCCACGCACCCAGTTGTATGGAAAAAAGTGAAGCTATGTTTGAACCCTTTGGGAAAGAATGTGGTAAGTTTTTTTGGAGGTTTCAGTAGATCGTGCCCTACAGCACTATGAGAAAAATGGCACAATAATTTATAATTTGCTGTTCCTGAATGATGACAAAGGCTTACCATTGTCCCGTTGAAAAGTTCAGCTTGAAGAAAAATGAAACAAAAAATATGTTACCCCTGATCCAAATGGCCAGAATTGTGGAAGGTGGAAAAAAGAGAAAAGAAGATTTTATTACCTTACGCAAAGAAAGCACAAACACTGCAGATTACGATTCCCAGCAGGTTGGGTTCAGGAATCGGAAAAAGAAAAATGAATCCTCCTTAGGAACAGATGGAGGAGGAAAGAATTTGGAAGAAATGACACCAGTATGATTCACCAAAAGGCAACTGAAGCCAAGCACGCAAATCTGGATTTCTTAGTAATTAATAAGAACAACATCTCATCTGGAATTTTCTGTGATTAGGGTATTCGTAAAATACCCGGAAGCCCAGAATGATGAGGAAGAAACTGTCTATTCCTTGGAAGTATACGACAGAAAGTAAAAGGAAAGAATCACTGAAAGGTAAGATGGATTGATTAGCAGAAAACTGATTTATTACATAATTATATATATTATATAACTTTTTCATAATTACATGACTAGGAGTCAATCTTGCTCAGGTCAAAATATTTAATATAATAATGTGAGAAAATTTTTATCTGACCAGCTTCTCTATGTAAAAATTATTTATCTGTATTTTACTTTAATCTGTAATCTAGGTATTGTATTTCAATATGATATATAACAAACGCTAATTTTTTTTTTTGATCAGTGGTCAATCTTAACAGAAAATTACTAGTTAGATAATGAAATACATGTCAAATTTGTATGATCAGCAAGCAATTTTACTACTTCTGAAAATATATATATATTTCAAATGCAAGAGAAGAAAATAATTGTTTCATTTTGGAATAAAAAGACAAAATACTTTCCTGAATAATATTTCTTTGCTTAATATTTTCACTTACCTTTTTTCTAATTTCTGCTGGCAATGAGTTACTTGTCTGGTAAACATGATGACAACAGAAGTGGCTGTCCCTGTACCACTATTTGAAACTGTCTTTTTTGACATCTGATCTGGAAATCGCATGACGTAGTTCCCGTGGTCAACCTCTCAGAAGCTATTTCAGCCCGTTTTTCAGAGAGCGATATTACTTCTTGTTGGAGTGGTCTAAGACTATTGGAGAAATCTGAAGTAAAAAAATAGGAAAAGGAAAATGACATCTCCCTCCCCCCACTCCCAGTCGTCTTCTACTGGCTTTTGTACCGTCTGACTTTGAACCCAATAGAATAGCATCAGACACAGGTTATAATGTATATACTGTTTAAGCAGCAAAAGAGAGAAAAGGTTATGTTCTGGGCTATTTATATGTGTTTTTTATATAAACTTAAGAACAACATGATGTTAAGTGGGGAACCAAAAACGAAGTCAATAGCTGACTAGAAATCCCCTGGAGTAGACTGGGGGCAGTTTGGACTCTTGGACTTCCTGGGCTCCTTCCTCCCTCCCAAAAAGAGGAAAAATATTCAAATTTCCAAAAATTGGTGATGGGAAATAGAATTTTTGTTTTCCAATCAGTCCTACATTTACTGCTTAGGATATGTCAATCAACAGTCAATTCTGTACCAGTAATCAGAGCAGTCACAATATTGCTTGAAGTCAGTTCTTTTTTTCAGTTTTGCTGGGACTGTCCCATTGCTTGTTAACGGTCTGCTACTTATAGCAATGTTAAGGACTTGCATTTTGTCTTTGAAGGAGGAATCATCTCTTTGTACTTCATACCATCAGTTTTCATTTATTTTTCAAATGTTCTTTCTAAACAGAATGTCTATTCAAATCTTAGCTGGAACATGTGTCAAATCTTAACGTGTTTGAACATAGGTTGATTTGCTGTTCTGAATAGGACTACTGCTTTTAAAATTAAACAGGCATAGGATGTCTGCATGCAGAGGGATGCATACAAGAAGTACTAGAAATTATTTTAAATGGTACTTGCTGGAAAAAATCTGGGCTTAGTGTTAGATTCGGTGATGCGTACTATTCTTGAAAAGTTAGACTTGCACATTTCAGCCAGGTCCATTCTTAAAGAAGGGTCCTCCACAGCCTCAAATCCTTTGTTTCTGCCGGTGTCACACTGGTCTCCAACGGGCCGGCATTTCCTAGATGCAGCAGTCAACTTAAAAGCACGAAGAGCAGCAAGATCTAGGTATTTACTAACCAAAAAGAGAAACTTCATGCAGTCAAGGAAAGGAAAATAATTTAAATCAGGATACAATTGAGGTGAATATATGACAAAGAGAGAGCTTTTCTAAAAAAGAACATATTTGTAAAGACGACAAGGTAAAACCAAGAAAAGGGACTTATCCAGTAAGAATTAACACAAATCTTTGATCAGACTAGTTTAAGGTTCATAACATAGCCATAGTTATAAATATGTGCATCTTTTTCGATATCTTGCTAGATCTGCAATAGTTACAAATAAAAATGCATTACATTATAGTCAGGGCTGTCTGAAAGTGTCTGTCGAAACAACCTTTGAGCAGGAAGCTGGATTTCAGCTGAATGTTTTTCTTTAAGAATGTGTGTTTTTTACCATGAAACGTCATTTCTCTTAAATGAAAACCTAGGAAGTTATTTGGAGCGAGCCGGGTGTCGGAAGCGCACGGAGCAGTGCCGTGCGCCGGCTGCGGGTCGCCACGAGCTCCCGGCTGCCCGGGGCACCATGGTCTTCCCAACAGAGCAGCAGCCAAGCGTGAAGACAGCCCGCGTCCCAGAAAGCCTAGCCGGGAGAGGGCCAGGGGATGGCTGCACAGCAGCAGCGGTATGAAAATATCCTCCGCTTCATCTTTTCTGGCGACGCACTCGGCGTCGCTGTCTTTACCTGGACCAGTAAAACTGGGCCTGGCGGGCTCTTTGCCCATGCTCTCGGGAGCTCACCCGGAGCCAGGGGTTGGATCTAGGCGAATCAGCCCCTTCTCAAAGCTGGGGGTCGACGCATCCTTAGGGGTGTCAAGGCAATTCGATCTCTCCCTTCTGGGTTTTGTGGGTTGTCAGTGAACAGAATGACTCGCGCACGCTCTAGTTTGGGCAGAGAGCGGCTTATTTCCCGAGGCACGTGCAGGTTTTGTTCCGCAGGCTCGCCGCCTCCTTCGGGGCGCAGGACGGGTGTTGCTCCAGGCCGTAGTTCGGTCTGTCACCTGCGCCGTCTCCCCCAGGCTGCACAAGTTGGGAGAAGCAGAGTGAATAAGGCAAGGGTTTAGGCAAAGCAGAAGTAGCTCAGCATTGCCCTGCAAGCACAGGATGTGGCTCACCAGCACGGTCTGCGTTTCCCTATGTGGGACGTGGAGAGAGCTTCTCTGGGCGCTTTGGCAGGAGGTTAATTAACTTCAGCCTTTCCAGCTGCTCATAGAGACATCGCAGACGTTTACTGAAGCAAAAATTGAGTGACTGCACGTGGAATTGGCAAACCTATAGACTGCGTGCTTATATATATTAATGTGAGCTTATTATTACAGGCTTTCAGGGTAATGCCCTTGGGCTTCAACGCAACCTGAAAACGTCAATGTTTCAGTAGTGCTCATGCGTGATGGGGATTTCACTGTGGCAGAATGGCGCGGGTACCAGGAGGAACTGTGCTGGTTTGCGTGCAGACTCGGCACGGGGAACGCCACCCGAGGACTGCTCGCCGGGACTTTAATAATTGAGTATTCAGTGCAGGAGCTGGCTGTTTGCATTAGGTCGGCTCTGAGGCCATGCCTAGAATGGGAAATATAATGAAAAGTACTGAATAGCTATCTGCTGAGGCACAGAATGGCACCGGTCACGTGGAAAATGTGTGACGGGGACGCTAGGGGGGACACAGGAGCCCTGTGAAGGCTCCGTGAATGCCTTTATTTCCGGCTTCTCTTAATTTATGACCGCTTAATTTCTCAGCATACTTTTAACAACATTTTGTTATGAACAACATGTGTGTGTATATGTATGTATACATATATATATGCAGAGAGAAAGTTGCAGTTTCAAATATTTTACAAAAGTCACAGTGCCTTGTACATACTGAGAGTATACCTGTGTATTTTGCCTTTATTTCCCTTTGCTTTTCATTTTTTTAACTCTTCTCTCAGATTCATATTTAACTTTGTTCTTTGTGGGAAGTCCTAGGTTTTCCAGCACTTACACACTGTCCAACGTGCTGGGAACTCAGCTCTGCTCTGAATGACAGTAGCAAGAACAAATGCACAAAAGATGTATTCGATATTTTTAATCCTTAATTTGCATCTCACTATTTCATTTCATAGCGGCAAGAACAATGGCAAACATT